TGTTGCAGATAACAAACCCCAGGCAGCAATTAACAACCACAGATTTATGTAGATTAAAGTAATTACTGCATTTCCAGATTGTGAGCAGGCACTGCTGCAAAAACGCAGGATTCGCAGTAGAGTACCAGATTCACATTATTTCATGCAACAACTGCTATCTGCTCATCTGTGCATTCTGTAATTTTTCAGCATATAATCAACGAGCCTCAGTGAGGGTGTCCTTAAGTGCACCTCCTTGGGGAACTTTGTTTCTTTTAGCTGCGGTACAACGTGATGCTGCACGATGTTACTCTGGAAGAAAATAATTTTAAGGGAATATATATTGTGTACACTGCTTTGTGACAGTGTGTGAAAGTTACTTCATAAATAAATTTCAGTTTCTTCTTATACGCACACAAACACATGCACACAGTAAAAACTTGATTCCTTGTGTGAACACTGAAATTCATGCAAGAGCTCTAGCTTGGGAGTTATAATTTACATTTATATTATAATATATTCACATGTGGTTCCCAAAATAGAAGAGAAGGGGAAAATACAAGGGCATGAACAGAATGTGTGTGTGTGTGTGTGTGTGTACGAGCGCACGCATGTTTGCATGTGCACATCAGTGGCTGGGAGGAATGGGAGGAATTCCCTGCTCTCTTCTGCGTAGGCATGAGGACTTTGGAGGAGGGGAGGTCGCTGGTCGTCTAAATGTCAAGCTCGGAAACGGAGACACTTTAAATTTTACAAAACATCCGCATTTCATATGCAGACTGACTATTTGTGTGTTTGTTGTGGCTTCATTTCATAGTTATGTGAAACCCGTTTTCCTTTAGGACAACAGAGCAACAGAGATGGGGGACGAATACCATTTGGTGTGTTTTTGTCAGCAGAAGTGAAGCAGTGAGGTTGCCTCACTGCATGAACAAAAAAAAAAAATGTAAATAAAGACGGAAGTGAAGACAAACCTACTATACAGTGCGTGCAGCTATGCCTACAAGAAGTCAAAATGAAAAGCAAACAAATTAAGACGCTGTGTCTGTCCCTGAAACAGCTGAACATTTTAGATAGGGTGTATGTGAAGGACAGCAGTGCAGCACGTGTCAAAAAACTATTTTCCCCCAGTGTTAATATTTCACACATGCTGACGACATTTATAACGTTACAGATAAATGAAAACTATAACAAACATCACATCACAAGGCACGGCTAGTGTAAGATCAAGTCTGCAGTGCCTGATGCTAAAGGTCCCACCTGACTGAGGTAATGGTATTCTTCAGGCTTCTTGAGGTGAAAGGCTTTCCTCTCTTCTTCACTTGCTCCTGCCAGCAGGTAGTAAAACACATGGTAGTTTCTAAAAAAAACAAAGAAACAAAAAATTATTACATTGTAACTCAATTAGTTCAAACTTTACAGTGTTTTTTTAAATTATAAAAACACCACATCTGTTTCTGGAAATGGTTAAGAAGTTTATCTCCATCTACAACGTTCCTAATCTTATGTTCTTTCCACTGAGATGGATATTATCCCCCATGTACCAAAAAAGCTTAATCACCTATGCCCCCCCCCCCAAAAAAAAAATAAAAATAAAAACAAAACCCTATGCTTTTAGCAGCCGATCAGTTACTGTATTAATCATTGCCATGAACATGCTCATTTTTAGCAAACTAACTGAGTGGGATGCAGGACTTTACTTTGAGTGCAGTAAGCACAGCAAACTCCTGACATCCAGCAATACAGTATACAGTGCTTTGCATGTTATTTTGGAAACAGGCTTGTTATGTTCAGCAGGCTAGAATGTCAGCATGGTAATTTTAGCATTGTTAGTATTTAAAACTGGAACAACTATAGAGAGGGGTTTCAAATTTCATCTTACAGGTTTCGTTTCAATTCATGTGGTGTGAAAACTGACAAGTTGACTAATAATAATAATGTATACTTTATTGATCCCTGTGGGGAAATTACTTGTTTTTCTCTGCATTTGACCCATTCACTCAGTGAAGCAGTGGGCAGCCACTAAGCAGGCCCCCGGGGAGCAGTGTGTAGGGACGGTACCTTGCTCAGGGGTACCTCAGGGTAGCCGTTTAGTGGTTTCAAACCCCCAACCTTCCGATCATGGGGTGACCACTGAGCTATACTGACTTCTTGGAGATCCACATTCTACAGAAAACCATCTTGCTAAACTACTTGTGAAACCGATGTCTTGGAGAGGGATCAAATTATTGACTGAAAAACAACCACGACTTCTCACTTCCATCAGATTATTTATCTGCGTGTGCATTCTGTTTCTGACAGAGTCGGGCTGAAGTGGAAAGGTTAGAGAGAAAAAGTTTGCTGTTCGACCAAAATTCTCTTTAAATGCACACTTCAAAAGTTTTTATGGACCTTAAATCCATCTCAGAGGCAGCTAGCAAAAGGGGCCGACTGTGCACTCCACCAACTATCAAACATATTACTGCTGAGCCCACTAATTAATTTCGTCGTCTATTTAAACTTTGGCATCTTCAACAGACATTCTGATGCCAGCTTTTTTGTGAAATATATGCAGCTTTAAGAAAAACTCACTTGTTTGTGTTATAACAATCAATTTGCAAGATTGGATTAAAATGAGTATTAATAGGTTTTGTTGAAATGTTACAAATATAGTACAATAAAAGTTCGCTGGCCTTACTGCTAATTACTGATTTTTTTTTTTACACAAGCTTATCATCTTTGATTTGGTGCATGCATGTTTTGTGTTAAATGTACGTCACAGCAACCCAGCCCAGTCCTGCTCGCCAAATGTACTTCTGCTGTTCATATGAGGGCTTTTGATAAGAATCTGCATTTCTGAGATGCGCTCACCGTTCATTGTGCTCTTGATAGACCAGTCTTGACTTCTCCAAGAGGTATTTCTCCACGTAAGCTCTGTTTAAAAAAAAAAAAAAAAGTACAAGAAGAGTGGTTGACTTTAACATTATTTCTTATTTTATTTGGACATTAATAAGAATTTGGTTCTGGGTTCTTACCCTCTCACAGTGCCGCTCTCCTGGTAGTTCACCTGAATGAACTTCCCAAAGCGACTGGAGTTGTTGTTATGTGCTGTCTTTGCATTCCCAAATGCCTACACGGGAAAAGAGGAACATGTGGTAAGATGTAAACAAATTAATGAGAAAGGCTACATATTGCATACAGCATCTTGCACAAGGGTCACTGAGACCAAGAACAGAGTCCACTTTAAGGTGTGGATAACTTGTTTATGGATCAAGAACGCAAAGCGTCTGGCAGGAGGCCAAACATCGTCTTGAGACACTGTCCGTCTGGATGCCACAGAGGAAGCTTTTCCTCTCACATAGTTTCTAACAGCATTGGTCCGAGACTGATTAATAACATGTTTTTAGGATCTATTAAAGCCAGCGGTAGACAAATTGCCAGAGTGAGGATGAAGGAGCTATGGCCAGCAGTCCTGATGGGGCGAAAAAAAAAGCTCCTCAGTGAGTAATGGGATCCATGTGGCTGTGTGGAACATGTGTAGCGTTTGTGCTTTAATAAGACAGTCCAGTATTTCCCCTCACAGCTCTGTTTATGTTGTATGGCTGCCTGAAGGGGAAGTCGTTTTTCGCCCTATATAAGCCCTATAGTTATTTGTAGCTCTACCACAAGTAAACAAATTCCTCAGTGAATCACTTAGAGCTGTCCCGAGCTCTCCGTCTGTGAAACGGGAAAACACCCCTCCCTTACCCCACCCTTCGCCCACGGCACTTTCTAACTTCCCAAACATGCAAGGAGACAGCTAACGCCAAGCTAATGTGCAAAATTACTGGGCTTCAGGCTAATCGTAATCCACAAATTTAAGAGCTTCATCCATCACAAAATTTCTCCTGCATTTGAAAAATATGTTGTTTTGGTCCAGGGTAGGCCATCGTGTTATCAATAAGGCTGTTGCTATGCAATACAGATGGAAACTTCAGGGCACAACTACCTTTTCCAGTCGTAAACAACCAACACGGCGAAGCATCACAAGGTGAGGTGGTAGGTTTTTTCTAGTCACGGTTCCTTGAGAAATTAGTCAGTGACAATTAATTTACAGCATGCAGTTTCCTCCAGGAACAATGCACACAAGGTGTACTAGCTGAAGTTAAATCATTTTGGTACATATACTGCAGAGACAGATAATTCAGTCCAGATAAACTGAACATCTCTTAATCAGACCAACACTTTGTCTAAAAGTATCTAAAGGTTAGGCTCTGTCCCACTGAAGTTTACGAACAACAACCCATTTAGATGCTTTTGAGAATCGTGGTGATAGAGAACTTAGTTGGCCTCTATTACCGGCTGACACTGGCTCAAACCTCTGGATCAAAGCTACAAACTTGCCTCTCGTCTCTGACTCATAAGGCAGAAGAAATCATTAAAAAGGCAGACACAGTGGAAAAACATATTTAACTCCACTGTCTGGACAAAGAAACGAGCAAACGGGGTCAAACTAAAGAACAGTGACTGTATCACTTCGCATCCCAGAATGTGGATTTCGAAATGTGACGCCTTCCAGAGGAGCTGGCATGTTGTTCACCACTTTGTCTGTCTCTGAACTGGCTAACCTGCCTGCTTCAGGAACTCCAGGTCAGACGAGGACAGACTAACATCACTCAGCGCTCCGGAGTAGTACGAGCTTCCTACTGGAAAGTAGATAGCCAATAAAAAACGAACCCAAAAGCACTCATGCTGCTTTCAGAGTGAGCAGACAGGTCAGGTATTGGACCTTTCAGTGCTTTTTTTGTGTTGGGCTAGCAGGAAGTAGGATGTGGAAAAACTAAAAACACTGAAAAATATTTTAGCCACTGTGCGTTCATCCACCTGGTCTATGTAAAAGAAAAGACGCATATCGTTGAAGACGACATTTTTACAACCTAAAGATTTTAGTCTTTCTAAACTTGGCTAGCTCCATATCAACAGTAATAAAACACAAATCTCCCAGCAGGAGAGATGAGTTATAATTGACCTCCAGGGAAGGAGTTTCTCACCGTGGACATTAAGTTCCAATGTATAAACGCAAAATAGAGTGAATAAGTCATCAGTAAGAGCCAGCTATCATTAAATCACTGTGCTACTTCCAAACATTTCAATTTCTAAGAATACATTACCATAAATATTTGTCACAATGGGCTTACATAATCACAAGAATTTCCTGAGTTACAGCAGCAGCAAACAGCAATCTACAGTAGCATGCCAACAGAGAAAATCCATCTGTATAATAATCAGGGTGTAAACTGTTTTTCTCCCTAACAGACACCAATGTAAATTAGCAACAAGACAAATTCTGGTTTCAGAAACTTGGTCTCAAATGCAAATATTTTACTGCACTCTTGCGCTTTCCACCTACACAAACAGCCCACAATAATGCAAATATGTTCTCCAACCTTCTCGTATGGGAGGTGTCAACAGTTATTCTTGGAAATCTAAGTCAGTAACTTAAGCTCAAGAGGACAGGAAGGCAAGCTGAGGTAACAAGGGCTGAAACCACATAAACAACAATAACAAGCATATAATACGTAAAAGATTTATAGCGCAGAGTGGTTTTTTCTGGGTAGCTCTTTTTTTCCTTCCACTTCCACGGCTCAAAGACGCATCATGACTAAAGCGGTTTGTACAGACATGATTCGCACCGTTTCAGTGACTCCACTAGGTCAACAACATTATTCTTGGCTTCAGACCATAAACTGAGCCAAAGGCAGCCCAATGACAGACTTGAGATGGTGCCAGTGTGTTCTGGGTGTAATGTGTCCAAATACAGGCTCGGTCAAAGTCATTACGGGGAGCACAGACAGGGAGGATGCCACAGGGATGATGTTATGCTTTAGTAAGTAAAGCACAAACACTCTACAGAATTTAACTAAGAGGAAACCTTTTAAATTAAGTCTCGTAAACTGTGTCTTTAAAATTCATTTACTTTCTATTGCTGGAACTCAGTATTTGGTTGGTGACTATTAGTGTAGTGTAGAAACCAATGGTAATTTCAATTTACCACAATTCTCTAATGAACCCAGCTGATATAGGATTTTTAAGACCGATGACGATACCGATATTTGGCGATCTGAAAATCCGATATTCTGATAGAAGATTGATATAAACATTGATACCAGTAGACTAACAAATAGCTACCGATAACTTAGTTGGGATCTAACTCATTGCCATTTGAAATATATTAATATCTGAAGCATTTTCACTCACTATCCGTAGAGTTGATGCAAACTTTCCAGACTTGATTGTGTAGGTAAGCCTAATTTCCACTTCTCACCCATTCCTTTCTCAAGCAATACCATACACTCATCATGTCAATCACTTTCCTCAAACGTAGTTAAACGTAGCTTTGAGTTTCCAGTGGTTCCCGTTTCCTACTTCTAATATATCAAATGTCCTGTCATGTTAATTGATATTTTGACACCAAAAATTCATGCAATCTCACTTGCAGTATTGTACTACTATAACATTTTTCCACCCCCAATACAAACGTGGATTTTTAATAACTTGTAAAAAACAAAAAACCCTCCTCTCAGACCTAAAATTATAGTGTAGTGTATCCCTAAATAATGTAGATGAGCTATAAGGCTATTCTTTCCAATATTTTTAAAAAGGCTCATGAATCTGATTAATTTCATTTCTATTTCAATATCCACTATAGCAAAGTACCCAATATATTTTTGTCAAAAAAAAACATTTAACTTAACATAATATGAGGATGATTTCATTGGCTGCTTCTTGAGGAGAGGAGAGGAGAGGAGAGGAGAGGAGAGGATGGAGAGTCTGTAGAGAAAGTTGGAAGTAATTCGAATGAATGGAGGGGGGTCACGCTAGCTTCTCAGATAGAGTAGAGACAAAAGAGTGCTTCATTTGACTCACAAAGGGATTATCTTTTAGCAAGTCAACAACTGCTTAGGGGCTACAAGTACATTTCCACACTGGATTGTGTTTAGAGGTCATGTGACAGCATGGCCCCAAAATACACAGAGCCGCTCTTTGTCTGAATTTCAAAGTGCCTCAATCAAATGGGCAATGGCATGAAAAGAGCATTCTTCTGTCGTACTACAAATTCATTTAGGGACATGTCACCAAATGTTCTGCATTCCTTCTTTTACAGCAGCTACAGAGAAAATAACTCAGTGTTCTATGTGAGTCAGTGTAGTATTGCTCATTCATCCTGTGCAGATTCATATCCTTTTCGGACCCTACTACCAGGCCAACTCATCAACCACACTATGTGGACAGGATGTAAACATGAAGTGAAAGAGCAGCTGACTTGACCCAGTGTGTGTCGCAGTGTGTGTGGGCAGATAAAGCTCTCCAGAGACCAATTCATAATCATGAACCTTGCAGCCTCACACCTAAAGCTGTGCTGGGCACAGCGGACTGTGGCCACAGTGGCTGTTTAACCACAGGGGAGATCTGCAGCCACCAGCTAAGTGAAAGCACGGTGGGATGTGGGTACTGGCAGCGGCTGCAACTGTCAAAACAATGTGCAAAAAAGTGTTTGAGGTAGGATGTGTACAGGTTTAACTGTCACCGTAAAACCTTTAAAGGGCTTTTCACCTCTGTGTAATAAAGAAAATAAATGTGCATGACAGTACATAAAGGAGCGATGGATAGTATGAGTGACCAAGAATAAAAACTTGTTTGGATACTTGTCACCTCAGGCAGTATAAAGGGAGTTGAGCTAAATGCTAACATCTGGATACTAAAAAGTTCAGAGTGTTGATGCTAGCAAGCTGTGGTTTAATAGCTGCAGTTACCCCCCTATTCAGCACCTGACCGAGGCTGCTGTAATCAAGCTGTTCATTTAAATCTAATGCTGTCTTTTTGCTTGGGTGGTGCAGGATACTTCACATCTATATGGTCAGATTTGTTTCCAGACTGTGGGCTCAATGCGGCCTCAGTAGCATTTACAGGCAATGTGTTTATTTACTACTGCAATATGAATATGTTTTGACTGGCAAGAGGTTTATGTTTACAAAGCTTTATCTTCTAGTCAAATGATCACCTTAATCAACTGAAAACATTTTTGATACATTTTTTAATCATTTGATGGCTTTATTATTTTCTTACTGTCTGTACTGTCTGCATTGCAAG